GGGAGGGGGTGCGGGAGCCGCAGGTTTAACCCCTGCCTCCCTGCAGCCTGGAAGGACCGGCCGGGCTGGACCCCGTCCTGGGGTGCTACGAGCCGGGAGGTGACACTAATGGGATCTATCACACACCCCCCCCAGACAAAGCTCGGCTACACCCCTTCTCCCTGCTAAACCCCACTTGGCTCTGAGATGCCTGAGCCCCCCACGGGAGATGCACCCACCCCATCCCGGGGCAAAGCCGGCCCTGGCACAACCCCGAGCATCCCACGCTCCGAGTGGGAAAAACCCGAAATCCGGGCTGCAGCCTCCCCTCCTAGGGCTCTGCTCCATCCCCAAGGTCCCCCAGTGCCCTGATTCCCATCCCAGTAAATTCCAGTTCTCTTCCCAGTGCCATGAACAGGCTCCTTCCTTCCTGGGACAGCGGGGTGCAGCCATCCCCCCTGTACCCGCAGGGGGAGAGGTTTCAGCCAGACAAAACGGTCGAGGCCCCTCTGCACGCCCCCAGGTGCTTTACATTCCTCCAGCTGCATAAAACCATCTTAAATACCTGCAGGAACCCCCCCCTCCAGCCATGATCCCAAATCCCCCTCCCACCACTCCAGCAGGGCAGGTGGCACCTCGGCTGCCCCTTGGTCTCTGCAGGATGGAGGTGCTGGGCACGAAACGCCACGGGCCATGCAGTCACCCCTGGAGAAGCCACGTTCCCACCTGCTCCCCAAATCCTGCACGCAGCCGTCCTGCGCCAGCTGCCAGCCCTTGCTCTGCCCATCCGGGAGGCTCAGCTTGCTGCTCTCCAGGACCCTCATGGAGAAGCTGGGCAGCGCTGGATCCTCCCTGAGCAGCTGTGACCACTGCACAGCGCCGCTTCCCGTGGCCAGAATAACCCAGGACCACCAGTTTATCACAGAGATGGGCTCCTGCAGCTTCCTTAGGCGCCCAAGGCCAGATGTTATGTGGATTTTTAACCAGTTCTCCTGTTTCAGCTTCACAACTCACACTCCCAAGGGTGCTTGGAGCAAGACACTTTATTAGCCCAAGAAATATGGGCTTTACGCAGCACTGAGCATCTTCATGCCTGTATTCCTGCACCAGGCAGGCGTGGATGGAGGGACCAGACCTTGCAGAAACCCTGGGCTTCTGCTTTGCAAACACCTTCATCTCTACACCACGGGGTCTCTCCCTTCTCCTCATCTCCTTCAGCTTCCTTACACCACTGGCCGGGAAGAGACTGTCATCACCTGTGATCCCTCTGGCACCAGGTGACCGAGATCTCCTCCATCAGCCAAGTTATTATTTATTTTTCTCCATTAATTCAAGTTTGGGATCAGGTGTGAGACCTTTGTGCCTGATGCCAACCCACTTGAGAGTGGCACCAAGCCACCAGTCTGCCGACAGCTCCAAGGTGTTCCCACACCCTAATCCTGGTCGCATCAGCCATGTGCCTCATTTGGCTAGGAGAGGAAAGCAGCCAAAGGGAATTTTTGCAGCAAAAACTCATCTTTCCATCCATCTCTTCTTTCCATCCGGCTCTAGCCCTGCCCCAGGAGCCAGACACCACACCTGTCCCAAACCATGTCTGCAGGTTTCTGCTCCTGGAGCTGGATATGGGAGAGGGAAATCTCCTTTGTAATAAGAAACTTGATTTAATAACAGTTTAAATCATCATCTTTGTTATTTTCTCTTTAAGCTGCTGAGCACAAGAAGTCAAGATGCATTTCCTGGGAAGATGGCAATCACTGAGCCACGGCTAGCAAACACAGACCTCAGCCCACCTTGACTCTCCCGTACGGGAATATCTGTGATCCTCAAAGAGCACAGCCCTGTGCACAGAGCAGGAGACAGAGCTGGGTCGTCTGGTGGAGGTGGCGGTGGGGATTGTGACAGGTCTACTTGTTTACAAGCTCTAAAAATAATTTTAAGTGCTCGGTGTCCTCCCCTGCGGATTGCAGGTGTGATTCTGCTGAAGGACCAAGGCACTACAGGGGAATATAGGAGCCTAGAGGCCAAGCAGGGCTGTTGCTGTTGTATTTCAGGGCTAACCAAAGCAACCCGGAGGTGACCACCCATCTTCAAGACAAACTACAAAGCTGGTTTTTAGAAAAGTGTTGTGGTTTAACTGAAACCAGGACAAGAAGGCAGCAACATGCCTTGTGGATTACAATATCTGAGGTATCAGAGCAACCCAAAGCCTGGGATGGTCCACGCTGCCCACTTCTCCTCTGAGCAATGGGTCAGCACCCCACAGCCTCCGGGTAGGTCTGGGATGAGGATGTCCCATGTTGTGGTTGGAGGACCCAGGTTTTTTCCCCATCTTATGGTCCCCGCTGCATTATCTGTGCACTGACAGCTCTGTGCAGCACAGATTCACACCAGCCAGGTTCAACTCACCCAATGGTCCCAGTTACACAGAATCCCAGAATCATTGTGGTTGGAAAAGCCCTTGCAGCTCCTCCAGCCCAACCATGACCCTCACCCTGACCCTTCCCAACTCCCCCAGATCCCTCAGCGCTGGCTCAGCCCGACTCTTCAACCCCTCCAGGGATCCCGGGGACTCCCCCCTGCCCTGGGCAGCCCATTCCAACGCCCAACAGCCCCTTCTGCACAGAAATCCTTCCTCAGAGCCAGCCTGACCCTGCCCTGGGCAGCTTGAGGCCATTCCCTCGGGGCCTGGCGCTGGGGCCTTGGCTCCAGAGACTCATCCCCCCTCTCTGCCCCCTCCTGGCAGGGAGTTGCCGAGGGCCAGGAGGTCTCCCCTCAGCCTCCTCTTCTCCAGACTGAACCCCCCAGTTCCCCCAGCCGCTCCCCAGCAGACCTGTGCTCCAGACCCTGCCCCAGCTCCGTTGCCCTCAAAGTCCCCAAAGAGCAGAAGACACGTCACCAACACTGGCAGCCAAGCCTGAGCCCTGCTGCAGAGCTCAAACAGGGCCACGGCACAGCCCTGACAGATCCCCTCCATCCGCTTTCCCACACCACCTTGTTTTGGTGGGCTTTATCCCCTCCACTTCTCAAAGCCTTGAGCCCATGCATGGGCCGGGCAGGAGGGTAAGAGTCCTACTCCTGGCTCATCCTGCTTGACAGCCCTCCTCTCTGCAGGCACAGAAGCCACCAGGAGGTAGAGAGGGACAATTGGTTAATTTGGTCTGATGGCTTGGGTGGCTCCATTCCCTTCTGGTCCCTCTGGACACCATGCAGAGATGGACAGGTGGATGGGGAGGTAAAAAATCTCTCTCTGAGCTGCAGAGTCAATCTTGCCTCCCTATATGGTGCTCCAGGAGCTCCTCGCACCGCTGGCTCTGCAGCTCCAATTGGGGTGGGAAAGAGGAGAGCTGGCAAAGATCCTTTAGGCTGAGCCTTGGCCTGGCTTTATGCTCTTTCTTCTCCTGCACTGAACCACCGGTGGAGTCACTCTAATTCACAGCAGTGAAACCACAGGAGAGGAGCTACCTCATTCCCACGACTGACAGCGTAACCCTTGAACTCCTCATCAGGCCCGTTGGAGCCACCTCTGCAGGCAGTCTCCTGTGCCACCCCGACCCAGGGCCTGGCTTTGATTCAGCAATGGCAGGAGATGTGCCTCCAAGCTCCAAGCCAGCACTAAATATCTCCTGGAGCTGCAAGGAGACACCTTGCCTGTAAGCAATCAGCACCTCCTCATGAGGCAGCAGCTCGGGGAAGCTGCCATCCCGGCATCGCTTTACCCAGCAGCTGATTTCCTGCTCCCAGCCTGATGAGTGATTAACGCCGGTGAGAGCTCCTCCTGAAGGTCTCGAAGGCAGCTGGGTTTGGGGGACATTCAGGTAGAGCGTTCACTGTGGAGCAGTCTCAGAGATTGCTCTGTCCCAACGGACCACGTGTGAAACTCAGCCTCGCTCGGGACCTTTAGCACATCTCATACCACACCCCTCGAGCTACAAAGACTGTCTAGAGAGGACATCACCCTACTTCTGAGGACATCACCCTACCTCTCCTGACTCATGCTTGGGGAAAGAAGGAGGAGCAGCCTTTACATCTATCACCCCACAGCAATCTAACGACCTGCAGGACTCGTGCTGGAGGCAACGTAATTTGTTGCGGCACCTTAAATGCAAAATACGTTCCCAAGGGCTTTGTGGAGTTGCAACAGGATCCAGTCGAACCCTGCGAGAGCACACACCAGCATCTGTGAACGTCTGTTCTCCGCACAGCCAGCCATAACTACCGCAGGCAGCGGTTATTTTTGCATGAATCTGAGTGCTGGAGGACTTCCAAGAGCTCTAAAGCTGCACTTTTGGGGCTTTAAGGCAGTCAGTGACTGATAAGGCTTAAAAAGATAATTCACTAATGGGATCACATGGTCCAACCTGGAATGGGAAATCTGGTAATTTTTTTAGTGCCCAAGTGTGTTGCCAAGCACGAGATCAGCGCATGGTAAATAGTCTATACTCAGCCATACAGAGAGGACAGGGAGTAAGAGATTCTCCTCCAGGAATGGAGATCGGCAACCAAATAAGAGAGAGGCGAGGAGATGCTGGGCAAAGCAAAGGGGGAAGGACAGAGAGGAAAAATGGGGGAGCACAGTGTCTCTGCTGTGACATATCCCCACCTGCACCCCATAGCCAGGGCTGGCATCATCGCTGGGAGGACCACAGAGAGAAACGGTGGTGGCAAAACCCTGCCAGCTCCTCGGGAGGGGTGAGAAGCAGAGAAATGTTCCTCGGCAGGCTGGGCCAGGCAGAGGTTTTGGCTTGGGGTGGCGGGATGCGAGGCTGAAGCCTTGCACGGGCTTAGGATACCCTCTGCAGGCCAGCGCTGAGCTCCGCACGTCCCGAATTGTAGAATCACAGAATAGTTTGGGTTGGAAATGACCTTAAAGATCATCCCGGGCAGGGCCACCTTCCACCAGCCCAGGTTGCCCAAAGCCCCGTCCAACCTGGCCTTGAACCCTTCCAGGGAGGGGGCAGCCACAGCTTCTCTGGGCAGCCTGTGCCAGGGCCTCACCCCCCTCACAGGGAACAATTTCTGCCTCAGATCTCATCTAAATCTCCCCTCTGTCAGTTCAAAACTGTGCCCCTTCCAGGGGGTTGGTTGGAAGACAAGCTGGAGACACCGCCACGAATTTTTCTCCAGGGTGGGCTGGATGTGCAGAAGGAATTTGGGAGAATATTTGGCAGAGACCCCTTTCCAAATCCCCTGTCACTGGGATCTCTGCAAAGAGCTAAAGCTCTGCACGGCGGCTTGTCCCACAAATGGCTTTGGTGGGGAACTGTCTCCTCTTCCCATGTTCTCTGCTCCTCCCCGAGGGCTCCCCAAGCCCCAGCTCCCAGGTCAGGCTGATCCTGGGGAGCAGGCAGCTTTGAGGGGGGTCAGGGCATCCATGGGAATAACACACACACCCCAGACTCTGTCTAGCAGCAGCATCTACAGGACAAGCACCTGAGTTGCTGGACTAAGTCCAGCGCCAGCACCAAACCACTGACTCCTTCACATCATCATTCATCCTAATAAAGTCACTACAATCTTTTTGTTTCCTGGAAATTAGCTTTTTTGTCAAGTGGCGTTTTGTGGATCCCCACAACAGATCAATGCACCGATATCCTTTTAGTCATTTAACAGCTAAAGTCGAGACAACTAAAGATAGAAGTGTGGGTGAGAGAACAAGGACATGATAACCCCTAGAAAGTTCCTGGCACAGATTCAGAGGCTGTTTTCTTGGGCACAGATCCTCCCTTCCTCCAATCATGGGTCTTTCAAGGTGTTTCTCTGCACCCACATTTTCTCTGCTGCCAACCCAATGTCTAGGGTAGATGAGAGCCTTCACCGGAGGGAC